ACCTAAAATGATGACAGAGGTCAGTAATTTGCACCAGAGGTACACTTCAACTGTGAGAGACAGAATGTGAAAAAAAATCCATGAATTCACATGGTAGGATTTGTAAAGAATTTATTGGTAAATCAGGGGGAACTTGCACAATCGGTGGCTGACAAAAACTTTTTTGCCCCACTGTATGTTAAAATGATTGGTTGTGAAACAGTCAGTTTGTAAGTGTATTTGTTAAACCCACTCGTCTCTGAGAGGACTTGTGGACATCCTCTAACTCCTCATCTTTATCTTCCAACTCCTTTTGATGGATCTGCTTCATCCTTTCCACCTCTATCTCAAACCGCATGTGGATCTAAAGGACACGGACAAAGACAATGGTGAGGGAAGAAGCAGCAGGGACAGCAATATATTCTGTGTGTGCTGTATCACCTGTTGCTGCTGCTGTATTTTGGCAGTGAGCTTGGTGATTTCCTCTGCTTTCTCATTGACCTGGCTCTCCAGGAGGCGAAGCTGCTTCTTGAGGGCAGGCAGTGACTCTGAGGCAAGGTCAACAGGTAGGCTGAGGTCACGGATCTGAGCACACAGGTCCTCCTTCTGCTTCTGCAGACGGCTAACCTCTGCCTGGCTTTCCTGCACACATCCACACAACACTGGAGTTTCTCACTTTAAGACATTTCATTCTCATGCTCCTTTACAGATTTCATCTTTGTCCACTGGTCAGTGCAGCATCTTGGAAGTTGGCACAGGTTAGTCAGCATGAGCTAGCTCAAGGAGGTTTGGTAGGTTTTGCAATTTGGGATATGATCCAGAACACAATATCATGTAGGAACACAAACACGAAAAAAAATCAAAATGCTGCTAAACCAACTAAACTAAACTATTTCTAACTTTTGGGACCGATGTAACTTTTCTTTGCCACAGCATAGTGATATCACCCTGAAAGTGAGAGTCAGATGCTTTGTAACTTTATCCTTAATCATTTGTTCTTTACATGTTCATAATGAAGACAGACATATACATGACAAGCTAATTGTTTCCTCAGCAGCAGGTCAGCCTTCATTCTATACTCATGTAGTGTCCAGGATCAACATTTTGGTTCAGATGTGATGTTAACTCCACACAGTTCCTGTAACATAGCTGTCTCAGAGTCATCAACCTAAAGTATGGTCTGTTTGATTTGATCAGAGCAACAGCCTATCATGAATTGCATGTGACAGTTGTCATTTCCACATTACATTTGAGACTCTCTTCCAGGTTAACCTGTTGAATCAAACTTTTGGATACTACTCCATAAAATCACATGTAAATCCACTGAATAATTCTGAAGACTATTTAATATTACATAGAGTCTACAGATGTATGCAACAAAAGTGGCATCACCATCTGTTTGTGTATTTTGAATCTTCGGTGTAAGCACAGCTGATGCCATTATATTTTAATGTTGCTTTGTGTTGTTTGTTAAGTCACAAACAACACAGTCCAGAGGTCGGTTTTAGAGGCTATCCAGTCAGGTGAGTTATTAAAAAGCTTAATTGGATTTTAGAGCTGTATAAAAGGGGCGACAAAGACCAAATCATTATGATTTTTAATGTTGTTAAGCTTTTTAAAATGGTACATTTGAGGTTTGATGCTTTTGGCATCTGCACAATTACTGAAGTAACCACAAACACATCATTACATGACATTACTGTGAAATAGCAGAAATCTTTTAATCAGTTCATATAAAAATCTACACACAGTCAACACGGAAGCCAACCCACCTGTTGGCTGCAGCGCAATTTGTATATTTCAGCTCCCAGCGCTGTGTTTTCCTGAAAGGCTTTGTCCTTCTGCTCTCGCTCACACTCAGCTTCCTCCAGAGCCTGAGTCAGCTTGTTATCAAACCTGTATGAACACATACAAACAACATATCAGCATATTTGTAAAGAAGTATATATCGACAATTTTTGTGTATCGCTTTTTGACACATCTCATTTGTTTGATGGCGGGAAAAGTGAAATTAACTTTATTAATTGAACAGGGGGGTGTTCTGTGTTCTAGTAGTTGCAATTTCAGCAGCAGAAAAGAGTAAAAGTCTTGATTCATAGTTAAATCTCCCTAGAATATTAAAGAAAAAGGGGGGAAAGCTAGACGTTTTTTCCAACAGAAGAAAATAAAACAATAACAATAATATCAGAGGGTCAGAGGAAAATATTTTCTTGGAAGATATAATTATTATTAGTAATAGTAGTAGTAGTAAATAAACTCAGACAAATAATTCCACACAGGCACTCGAAGGAACCGACATTCAGAAACACACGACACAAGATAAAACTAAGGATTATACCAGAAATGCAGAAAAACACAAAGATACACAGCTGCATATTGACATGACCAATCATAATCTTAGCTGATATGAAAGAAAGTTATACAGCGTGGGGTTAAAACAAACCTTCTCTGCTTGCGGTCCAGTTCATGCATGCGGCTCTGCAGACTGTCAGTAAGGACCCGGGCATCCTGAAGGTCAGAGGTCAAATGACGACAGTGACGTTTCACCTCTGTCACACTCCTCCTGGACTGCTCCAGCTGGGCCTGCAATGTCGCCACCTTCACAAAAACAGAGTAACATTACAAATCATAACTTTAGTAATAATAAGTAACTTCAGAAACTAATCACCCATCAGTGCTCTGTTCACCTTTCAGCATCCTGTCTCACCTTGGCATCGAGCTCTTGTCGAGTTTGTCTTTCTGTCTCAAGTTTTTCCTCTGTCTGTTTCAGTCGTCTGCAAACAAATTCCATCTCTGTCTGGCAGCACTCCAGCTGCATGACCAGTTCAGTTTCTGCAAGATGTGGAGGAATGGATATGACTTCGTTGGAGTCACTTTATACGTTGTGACATTTCTCTATTTTAACACTAGATTTCATGTGTGATAAAATAAGATATTTATGAATAGTCAATATGAACACTCAAACTCCTTTCTACTATACAGTGGGGCAAAAAAGTATTTAGTCAGCCACCGATTGTGCAAGTTCCCCCACTTAAAATGATGACAGAGGTCAGTAATTTGCACCAGAGGTACACTTCAACTGTGAGAGACAGAATGTGAAAAAAAAAATCCATGAATTCACATGGTAGGATTTGTAAAATTTATTCTAAATCCTACATGGACAACTCTTTACCTGTCACTGCTCCTCTCTGACTCTCCTTAGCCTGAGCTTTCTGCTTCTCCTCCTCCAGCTGCTTCTCCAGGGTCTCCATGGTCACTTTACACTGATCTAGGCGAGCCTATAGTTAAAAAAAGTACCGAGGTAAGTAACAGGACTTGTAAACTGAGTAACAAGTAACAGGATTTTTTTGTCTTACCTGCAGGTCTTTGTTCTCCCTGCTGAGTCGAAGTCTCTCTGCCCTCTCCACATCCAGAGCCTGGCCCACGGCATCGCCGCGGAAACGCTCATCACTCAGTTCAGATGTCACAGCTGTAACCTGCACATAGATCACAACATGAGTTTGTTTGTGTGATGTGTGTGTGTGTTGTGTTGTGTGTGTGTGGAGTGTGTGTGAGTGTGTGTGAGGTGTGTGTGTGTGTGTGTGTGTGTGATGTGTGTGTGTAGGGTGCTGGGAGAAGTAAACCTTGGTCCTCCACTTTTATACTCTGCGAGTCTGCCTCAGCTCATTTCTCTCCTTCTCTGATTTCTCTAGGCGTCGTCTCAGAACTGATATTTCATCCTGACAAAAATGGCAAAATAGAAAACTCACTGTGACTGAAACATCATTGTGATTATTATCACTGTACACTCGTTCACTGAAACCAAAATCCACCTATTAGATGCTGGCACTGCTACAGCTCACTGAACTTCCATTATGAACACTACGCAGCCTTATAATTGTTCTTCTTGTCTCGAGTGCACAAAAATATAGCTTCAAAAACAATTCAGACAGCGTTGGTACTTTGTCATTTAAGATGGACTGCTTAATTACTTTGCATGAAATTAAAACCACAGGCATGTACGTTTAAGTCAACGATTATAGCAATAGAAGCTCGAGTTATAAATTGTTGTGTCTATTCTAACTAAGAGAGAACCCACAGCAACTTTTGCTCACAACGAAAAGATGTAATTATGTTTACTGAGCCTTGAGGCACGGCTAGGCAGTTTATGTAAAATTACTAAATGTACACATTTATAAGACTGGAATAATCAACCAGCCTATGAGTGTTGCAGTTTCTCAATCATAACCACCATTCGCTTGAGGCTTCATAAGAGGACTTCACTAACCAGTGACTCCAAAGTGGCAATGTTCATCATTACATACAGTCTGTACAGACCCTGGATATTTCACTTTACTCTCACAGTGGTGTGTACCTTTTACTAGGCCAAATGGTCATGGCACTTTATGCTGAAAATATAATCTGCTCCTGGGCAGTGACGATGAAGACAAAAGTCCGACATGGCAAAAAGCACCACCTACTGATCAGTCCTGGAAATTGCTGGGAAAAGTCGATTCACCCACACAGAGCAGGACATGACTTTACCTTGTGTAATCTTCTCTTAATGTTCTCAAAAACATTGTTTTGGTCTCATATACTATATTTCAATGTATGTTTGCACATGTTTCAATACATTGGTGCACTCCTTCCCCTTTTTTTTCCTATCAAAATATAAAATAATTAATAGTGAGGCAAGATTTTTGCACAATACTTTCTGCTCACTTGCCATTTCATTGCATTACAGTTAAATAAGACTAACGTATAAGAAAAAATACAATAACACATTAACACAGCTCTAAGCACATCCACAGTGGTGTTAAGGACATTGCCTTGTAAGAGTCCCACATAGTTTCCACCTTGTGGTATTCTGCGAACATTTAGTGAAGCACCGATACAGTGTATAGGATATTCAATACATGAAGACATTTGTCACTTTGTGCATTACAGTGTCATCTGAATGTTGCCAAAAAATGCTTTGCTACCTTCCAACAAACGCATTATCTAACCCTCTGTCTTTCCCTGATAAGAATGGGCTAGAGAGTTTACAGCGAAAACTATTGTACTTTGCAATGTTAATAAGTTGATATTCTAAGATTTGTAAGCTATTTACCAGATTAAGATGCTTTTGTATTTGTCCATTTAACTCCTAAAGCTAAAAGATTAATGCTAATACATATATACACATTTAAGAAACATATTACTAAAATACACATGTATACGTTTGCCTTAATTTGGAGACATTGAGCAAGAAAATCAATCACTCAGTCTTCATTCGTTTCATCTAAATCTCTGCAAAAAAGCAAATACATTTTTTCACAAAGTGTTTGAACACCTTCTGATAATTGTGATCATGTACCTCTTTGGCCCTGAGCCTCTCATTATCCATGTTGACATCAAGGAGAGGACGCACACTGCAGAAAAGTTTCCACCAACTCCACTTGGACACGACCCTGAGAGCCCGAAGGTTCCTCTGCAGACAACTCACTGCCATCTGCTGCACCTGGAGACAGACGGGCACACGCACACGCACGCACGCACACACACACACACACACACACACACACACACACACACACACACACACAATGTGTGAGTTTAACCTACAGCTGAGCTCAGTCTCCTTTTAAAGCGACAGATAAAACCATTAAATGCCATTGCAACAAAATGTAAAAAGATAAAAATAAAAAAGTTTCATTGAGACCTGAACCAACACATTCATTTTAAAGTGATATTACCTTAAACTGAAATACTATTATACTAGTACAATAATTTATGCAATAACTAGTGAAAATGTATGATTACTTGCTAAGGTCAAAGGTCAAGGAGTGCAAAGCATCCATAAAAAAAGAAACACATAAAAACTGTAAAAGATAAAGCAGACACAAAGAGACTCAAAGTGATGACAAGGAGATGCAAAACAACCACACAAATCATAAAACACTTCCAGTAATGCAAAATGACCGACAAGACACTCAAACACCTACCAAAAAAGGAAAAAACACCAAGAGAGATTAAAAAAAAATTTACACAAGAAGAGCAAAGAAAACAAATAAACAACTCCCATCTAAAACCACCATGCAAAGCATAACACCGCTACATAGATGCAAAATGACCACAAAAAAGTACAACCTATGAAAAGAAAAAACACAAAAAGAAAGTGCAAAAAAGGCACCACAAAAAGTTTGAAAACAACAACTCTCAAAAAGAAACAAAAGTTGTAAAGTTAAAGGAAATGCTAACAGCTGCATTTAAAATACATGATGTACAATTTTCTTCTGGTAAAGTCAAAGCTCCTGTTTGTGTTCATGTATATATTAAAAATATCTCACTGGGCACTTATGGCTACCAATTGGAAATTTGGCGGTTCGATTAGTCAGTAGTAGGAATCGAGAACCTGTTCTTATAGAGAACAGTAGCCCAGTTCTTCGGAATTGTTAGTCAGCTTATTGATCCCACTTTTTGGTTCTTGCGCTCGCACTACAATCAGTTGATTTAAGTTCATGAGTCGGAGGAAGAAAATAGTGCCGCAGTCTACACCGTGGATAAGGACATTACTTTTATTTATATTGCACAAAGGGACAAGCGTGCAATGTTCAAACTGCATCCAGGACAGAAACAGACACATTATGTTTGCGCTATAAGCGCTTTGGGGTCCTTAGAGACTGAGTAAAGCGCTATACAAATGCAGGCCAGGCCATGTTGCTAAGTGCTAACATGCGCAGACAGCATACTAACACTAAGCTAGCCAAGAGCCCAGAATGATATTAAAGCTGAGTGAATGCCAACCCAAGCCCAGCAGAGGTTTTGTGTAATTTCTTTGATATGCTCTTTAGCGATTGTGGTGACACTCAAAGGGGAGCCAATGAGAAATTCGTATCAATTCCATCAATTCCCAGTCAGCAGTGCAGAAGGCAAGCTCACAGAGACATAAGTACCTTGAGTTTGCGATATTTCTGACGGGCAAGATGTCCCAAACAGGCAGCCTGTAGGTGGACCAGCCAACCAGTGACCTGCTTCTCCCTCTGCTGCTCCAGATAGCACAACACACCTCGCTTCATAAACACCTAACGCACAACGGGGGAAAAAAATGTATGAGCCATATCAGCACGAAATAAATTCAGCTGTTCGAGTACAAACATGTTCTTACCCGGCTGGCACCCACGAGGATGCTCTTTTTATCCACATCCAATTCAACCAGCAGCTCTTCCACTGCCTGACACATAAGCAAACACAAAAAAGGTGTTTACATGACATGATGCTGAACAAGAAAGGGAGCTGCTGCCATGTGCCATCTGACCTTTCTCTCATCGTGGCTGACAAACACTGAAGCGTAACGTTTCATGACTGAAGGAGCGAGAGCCTGGAAATGACACCTGAAATCCCCCAGAGTCATGTGCTCTGAATAACCTGCAGACAAACATGGCCACAGATTGATTTTTTAATTTGCATCAGGAATATTTGGAAAAAGGGCAAGAACATATATATATATATATATATATATATATACAGATATGTGTGTGTGTGTCTCTGTGTGTGAAAAAAAACCCACTCGGGGGGTCTTGATCCTTCAAGTTTTACTCTCTCTCTCAGCTATGATCCTATCTCTCAGGTCAGTCACTCTCGCACTCAACACCTTCAACGCACCTGTTGTTCTTGGGTACCAAGCCCCAAGAACAACAGTTGTGTGGGGATAATGACTTCTCCCCCCTGACGTGATGTCATGTTTTGTGTTCACCTTGTCAGTCTCTAGTTGTGATAGGAGTTGTTTCTTCCAGATATCGGAATACCAAGCTGCTAGTTGTTTTGCCATTAATGTATATGTTGGGTGTCATAGATTCCAAATAATAGATGTGACTTACTCTGAAAATTAGCATATTTTACTTGCAGAATATTTGCCTTTTAAACATGTACAACAGAACAATAACCCTAACCCTAGAATGGTCACTAATAGCTTTGTACTTGGTTTACACACAGTGTTACAGCTTGAAATATTAATGCATGAGCATGCATACCTATGCGGTATAGCTGCAGAGCTGACAGGATCTGTGTGGAGTGCAGTTGCACCCTGAGGGCTGGGATGTCAAAACTTCCATTGTCAGTCTTTGCACTGACACACTGCAGAAACACTGGCCTGGCTCGACGGATCAGATTGATAAGAGCATCCTGCATGGTGGGAAAAGCAGCAAAGAGGGAAGGAATCCAGTTACACTACAGAAATAGATGAGGATTTGACAGTGAATGCTCTGGAAACTTACTGCCTGGAGTTTTACTGCAATACACTGAGAGTGTCTGCGTATCGCTGCCATTCCCCCACTGAATGTCTTCCTGATGGTGCCATTCCTCTGCAAAGAGCGCTGGCTGCCACCCTCTAGTCCCCCCAGAGCCCGACACAGGGGGGGCAGAGAAATTCTTGGGGTGAACATGGCTTTCACAACCCCTCTGGGGAGGGCAGAGACAGAACCTAGCTATCACAGGATGTCAAAAACATGTTTTTAACATCACTACAAGTGTGTAGCTGGTATGTGCTGTGAGTAAATGAATCATGCATGGATGAACCACACTTGTTCATACCTACTAATTAACAGTTGTTAATTACTTCATCAATGGTATATGGGCAGTCTGTTCCATGAAGTCATATAAAAACTTTCTGGGCAAGGAATTCCCAAAGTCCTGGAGCAGTGCTTCATGCTTCCTGAGATGAATATCTGTGCTCACTGCTACTTTTTAAAATGGTTTCTTAGCAAGAAAGTGTCCAGATGGAGAAGTTATTAAAAACATTCCCCTTCTCTAGATTTTCTTTCTTCCCTGCTGCCAAAGTTTGTTCAGACTTTAACTGAACAAACACACACATCCACACATGTGCAATAACACTAAGTGCAATAACACTAAGTGCAATAATCTTTTCTGGCATCGTTGTATTTTTACTCAGTTGTATATAGCATTCGTATTCTATTTTTATCTTATTGTATATTTTTATTCTATTTTATTCTACTGTATATAGTATATTATTTTATTCTATTCTGTACAGCTGTGTACTGTATTTATTCTTATTGTATTCTAATTTTTGTGTCATAACTTTTGCACTGTCCACTTCCTGCTGTGACAAAACAAATTTCCCACGTGTGGGACTAATAAAGGTTATCTTATCTTATCTTAAAACACCTGAATTTGTTTCCCTAAGGTTAATAAAAACTTTTCTTATCTCAGTTTAATCTAATTTAAACACAGTACAACTATGTGCATATGTTCAGTTTAAACACCAATATTAAAAGGAGACAGTAGCTTCTGAAAGAGGAAAGGAAACCTGTTCCTTTTACAGGGTCACACTAATTAGTTTTAGTTGGATATACAGAGTTTTGACCATTTAATGACATCTAACACACCCTTTAACTGTTTGAAAGGCTTTCACCACTCTTTTAGTAAAATATTTTCCCAGGGCCATTTGCCAACTGGAGCCTACTAGAAGATATTCATTTAGACACGGCATCCTTGTGGGGCAGCCCCCAGGCCTCTGACTTACACAGTGGAGTTTTGGAGCAGACAGATGGTGTTCAGAGCAGATGGGTTGTTCTGGATGAGGCTGAACCATCCAGCCAGATCGTATCGGACAGGATCAGACCCCATCAGGTGCTTCACCTCACACTGCAGCAGCTGCTCACACTGTCGCACTGCAAGGACAAACAAACACAATTAATTCATCCTCTTTGAGTTATATGGCGCTCAAGTTTTCACTAGCAGTGTATTTTTTACCCATGTTGCTGTAATACTGGCACACTCTTTCCACGGCCCTGTTTTCACAAGAGGCTGGCGTCACCATCTCCTCATCCAGAACCCATAAAAGACCTCTGCGGTCTTCATCTGCTGCGCGGACCTGAAACAAACACACACACACACACGTACTTTTCAAGCATACATTGGGTTAAAGCATGATGATTTTCTATTGGTCAGATGGAGGATACAATGAAAAGTGAAGTAGAAAAACATTTTTATGCTAAAAGTCACAGTACATGTAATTTCTTGAACAAGATAAATGCTGGCAAACGAGCACTGTTCTTCTGGCTTCTTTTAAGGGGAGTAGTAAGGACAGACTGTAATAATAATGACAAGGAGGAAAAGTATTGGTGCGCCTCTCAGGCTACATAACCTCCAGTTGTAGGTGCTGCTGGTGAAACTATTCCCTCTGTTAATAATCGAACCCAACTCAGACAAGTTTGTCAACTTTTGATAAACTGTTATTTGGGTTGTTGCAGCAGGGCAGGGGATGATTTTAGGTAAAACTAGAAGTCTCACAAGCCTCGTAGTCTCATGCGTTCAAGACAGAAGTTATTTCTGGAGTCTCTAGAGCTATTATCATATAACATTATACGTCAGAAATTTAAATGAGACAACTTTAAGATTCCTGCGTAAAGTTGGAAACATCAAACTCCTGGTAAGATGTCATGGCTGTTATCCTCATGCTCACATTTACGTCTTTTTTACGTCACATTGCTGCGTACCTGTGGAGGTGGCTGGTCAATGGCAGAGACCACCTCGGCCGGGCTGGTCTCTGGACATTCAAACTCCACGTGGATCTTCTCCTGCAGCAGACAAAACATAAAGTCGTTCCGGCAAATGTATTTTTCTCACCTATGTACTTTTCTCACTCAGTAATAATCGGTTTAACTCATTTTTGTGTTTCATTTTCATCAAATCGGAACATATTTGTTGTAGATCTAACAATTGTATTGGTTTAATCTCAGTGAAATTGCCTCTTTTGTTAATCTTTCATCTTTGACAGACATGCATCACGACTGTGAAGATATCCCAAAGATATTAGCATACTCAGTGAAAACCAGTTAGGGCTTAAGTTCAGGGGGTAAAACTGGTACTCTTTTGTTAAAGCTGGTGTTAGTAAAGGCTGAGCAGAAAAGATCCTGGACACATTCCAGTGTGGCTGACATTTTAAAATTGCTGTGTGTGAATCCCATTCTGGCCACTTGCACATGTGAGAAACAGATCTCTTCTGGTCTGCAATTCTGTTTTTTAATGTGTGTAATTGTTATTTTATTGATTTTCTTGTGTTTTAAAGCTCCAAAGAGGGATTGGCTATGAAAACTCTCACTCGGACCGTAAGTGCTGTTGCCTGTAAGCTGAACATGAACCAGTGCTGTATACTGGTACACAAGAGAGGGCAGCAAAACAGAGGCAAAAGTTATGACATCAGGTTCTCAAACACAATAATTGGGTCACAAGATAACAGACTAAAACATAAACAAGTAAAACAAAGATGACAGGGTCTGTTAAAGGCAGAGAGTCTGTTCCAGTTAAGGATGGGAATCGTAGTAAGTTTGCCTGCCTGTCGATACATCTTATCGGTTCTTGCACTCTTGGTACAATCAGCTGATTTCAGTTTGTGTGTCGGAGTAGGAAAATAGTGGTGCACTTTCATTTTTAAATACAGTGCTGTTTGGTCTGTGTAGAATAATAACTTGGTAATCAACGCCTGCATTTACAGTATTTTATTTGAATATTTTTTTTCTTTTTTGCGAATTTTTCAAAGGAAAGGCCCATGTGATTTCTGTCATCATTTACTGTATTTTCCTTTATTGTTTTAGATGAGTTATTGATCAAACTGAATCTCTTTAAGGTTTTGTCAATAGAATGATTCATTGAAAAACTTGAAACTTGAAAAACAGTGCATGTGATTCAACGTTCTGATCGGTGTCTCAATGTTAGAGTCAAAACCAGCAATTCCAACCTCATGACCTCAATAAAGAAGTCAGAGGGATATTATAAGCAATTAGGATCTTCCTGGGATCATGAATGTCTACATAAAACTTTATTTATCCTGTATGTACTCATTATTTTTACAGCATCGATCTTCTTTCAAGTCCTTCCTTTTGGGAAGCACCTTCAGCAGATCATCTGCCTCCATCTCACCCTGTCCCAGCGTCCTCTATCACACCAAACCTCTGTATGTCCTCTTTCACTACGTCCATGGATCTTCTCTGTGATCTTCCTCTTTTGCTCCTGCCTAGCAGCTCCATCTTCATCATCCTTTGTCTAATATATCCACTATCTCTCATCAGCATATGCTCCATTCATCTCAGCCTCACCTCTCTGAATCTGAACTCCTGATTTTTAGTCCTGTCCATCTCACTCCCTTCCAATGAACTGAACATCTTCAGCTCTGCCACCTCATTTGCAAACCATACATCACAGCAGGTCTCACTACCATCTACCATCTCACTACTACAAACTTTCCATTTAGCTCTTGCTGCTATCCTTCTGACATCCCTGACACTTGCCTTCACCCATTCCACCCTGCTTGGGCTCTTCACCTTTCTTGTGCACTGTTTGTTGCTTTGGGTGGTTGATCTCACATATTTAAACTCATCTGCCTTCAGTATCTCTGCTTGTTGCATTTTCACCTGTCCGTCTGTCTCCCTCTCATTCACACACACGTATTCTGTCTTCCTTTAACTGACTTTCATTACTCTTCTCTCCAGAGCACACCTCCACCTCTTCAGGCTCTCTTCCACCTGCTCCTTACTCTTGCTGGAGATGTTAATGTCATCTGCAGACATTATAGGTCACAGATACCTATCGCCACCTTGAACCCATCTGTCACTTGTACCAGGCACCTCACCACTGCCTCTCCGTCCTCATACATGTCCTGGACCACCCTCACATACTTGTCTGTACCTCCTGACTTCCTCACATTGTCACAGTTCCTCTCTTGGTACTCTATCATGTCTGATATCCTCTGTACTTCATCAATGCTCTCAAAGCAAACATCACATCTGTAGTGTTTTTTCTCAGCATGAGGTCATACTGCTGCTCACTGACCATCACCTCTCTTGTTGACCTAGCTTCAACAAGTCTTTACTGCATCTTCATGGTATGGCTCATCAACTTTATCCCTCTGCAGTTACTACAACTCTGCACACTAGTCTTGTTCTTCACAATCTGTACTAGTACACCTCTTCTCCACTCCCCAGGCATCCCCTCACTCTTCACGATTTTGTTAAACAGACTAGTCAAAAAGTCCACTGCCCTCTCTCCCAGACATCCCTATACCTGCACAGGTATGTCATTTGGACCAACCTATTCTCTGCACATTTCCCCAAACGTCCTTCTTACTAATCCTCTGCACTTCCTGATTCACTAACTGTCCCCATCAATCCTCCTGTCTCGTTTTCTACATTCATCAGCACCTAAAAGTGCTCCGTCCATCTTCTCAATACTCTTTTCAGGCTTTAGAAACTGAGTTTTTATGTGTAAGTGTGCATTACTCACAAAAGATGATCACTCAGCTTGAAAGATGTAACTGTACACTGAGTTACCTGAGCGTATCTCTCGAGTGTATGTGTGAACGTATGTGAATGGTAATGCTCCAGCAGCCTCTCTTGTAGGTAATTGTGGCAGAACTCGGACCAGCTGGCTCCTCTCTCCTCTGCTGAGTGTCGTGGGTTCCTCAGGCCTGGCGTGTCCACCACCATCACAGAGGCTAGCATCAGCTGCTGACTGCTCAGCGCCCTGCCCACAAAACACAGCCTGATTGAGTTTTACAGTTCTTTATATGTTTGTTCTTCATTCACATATCTGATGCATGAATGTACAGTAGAGGGAAGGATGATCATGTGATAAGGCCCCCCTCAGTAGCGTGGTAATTACACAAAACAACAGGCGGCTGCTATAAGCACATGAAGCTGGAAACAGAAGTACAGATCAATGCATCAGACTGTCTGCAAACTTTGTAAATGGTACCCACAGATGTAGCTTGAGAAAAAGAAAGCAACATTAGCTCCTCTTATTTATTTCCCCTCATTTTCAACTCCAGGAGTTCAAACATTTGGTCTTCTGTGTTCGAAGCCTTCCTTATAATCTCATATCGAGCCATTAGGCAACCCCTCAATGGAACGAGCAGTCAGTTTTAATGTTCTTTAAAAGCCAGCTGTCTTCTTACTGGCTGCTCTCAAAAATAGAAGGTTTTGAACAGTGGGCATTAGTGGTCCTGAGCCTGAAATCATCATATTAGGGATATCCCTTCTTTGTGACATCATACAGAGTAGAAGAGTAGAAAAGTGATCAGAAATTGAGTTTTCAGACTCAGATTGATTGCAGGGATAATTTGGGCCATGTTTAATATAGTCTTCAATCACTGTAGCAGAAAATATATTAAAGATAATAAGAAAAAGCACAGTAAGCCATCGTAAAACAAAGTCTAAAGTCATGAAGCCTTGTTAGGCAGCAGTTATGAAGGCAGACTGAGAGCTTGTGATGAGGCTGTGGATCGTGTATTTAATGAGATGCATCCAGACCTGTTGAT